CAGGTATATATGTTGCATACGTGACTGTGTGCACACATGTGTGCATGCATGTGTATGGGTGTACATCACAACTACAACTCTTATAGGACTTGCAAACTAATTTGAGAGAAGAGAACCACATAAGTGAAACAGGACAGTTGTGCAGTACGTGCCATGGTGATGACTCTAAGGGATTAAGAAAATGGGGGCATCTGGGGTGCTCTGTTCTGTTGAGTTGGAGAAGGGAGTCCAGTTGGAGTCCAATGATGAAATGAGGGGACAGCCTTAGTGCACCCCCACTGGGCCTCAACTAAGTTATGTCTGGCTAATCCTTTTCTTAGCATCTTTCTGATCTGGCCTCTCCAGTCCTGCACACACCCATTTTAAGGAAAACCCATGAGCTCCACCCAGGCTCTGCTGAGCATTTCTGGTCACTGGGGTTACCTGGGAATTGTGGGTAAGAAGGTGAACCCCTCCACCCCAGCCACAAGCCAGTTACACCCCAGGGTAGCTGCTCTAAGGTAGGTGTGGTCCTTGTTTTATAGATGACCAACTGCAGGCCCCACGAGATCAGGCCCCAGTCAGTCAGTAACAGAGAGGGCTGGCGTCAAAGCCACAGGCGTCCGACTTCCTTGTTGGCACCTTCCACACTTGCCTCCCGTGTGAAACCCCAGCTTGGCTTGCTGACTCGAGGAGCTTATAGGAAGTTATTATTTTTTATCTTCAATTCCTGCTTTTTCTGAATTCAGTTTATATCCACAATTTCTACATTTTCCATTTTCAGGAGTGTCTCTCCAATATTTCTGGGATCTCAAAACTATAAAATATTACTTTCACATTTCATTAGAAATTCCAAAATATTCTAAAAGCAGAAACAAATACGTTATGTTTATTACTATTGTTTCCCTAGGGGTTAAAATGTTCACTTAATTTGGAGGCAAAGTACTGGACTGTTTTTTCCCCATTTTTTAAGTTTATATAGTACTTTGCAGTAGAGGCTGGAATACTTCTAAATGCTAGTGCAGCAGAGTGGAGAAATAGGGGACTTTGAAGGTGGACCCTGCTCCAATTCGGGATCATTCTGACCCTGACACCCTGAGACCCTGCCAACACAGCCTTCGCCTGACCCATTTAAAAACTCGTGATGCAGAATTGAGTCCTTCGTGAGGCTGAGTCTCTGCACGTTATCTTCACGGGGGCCAGAGGGCACCACAAGGGCTCCTTTTGAATGTACAAAGGTGTGTGTGACTTCTCATTTTTATGCTCCACTCTCTTTTCTATTTTTTGTTTGTATGTGTGTCTGCAAAATGTGTTCTGTTGTTTCGCAGCACTCATTTTAATTCATGTAAATGTTACTGATTATAAGAGTTCTTATGTTTATCTCAGCAGTGGTTTTCGAGATCTCTCCACATTGCTCTATCTCAGATCTTCGGCTTCTCCCTGCTGCCCAGGACTGCCCTGTGCCCACCCACTTTGTCTCGTGTTCAGGACTGCCCTGTGCCCACCCACTTTGTCTCGTGTTCTCCCAGCTACCTGCCTTCCCGGTGGTCCACATGAAGTGGGTGGGGGAGGTTTCCCTGTATATACCCTGGAGGGGAATTCTAGGTCACAGGGTCTGTCTACATGGGACTAAATACTGAGGGTTTGTTCTCTAAATGGACACACCTGTCAACTTCCCACCCTCACTGCACGACGGTCCCAAGCTAGCTTTATGGTATATGTGGTCCAGTTTGTAAAAGTTTTTATAGGTGTTTGAAAAGAATGTGTGTTCTCTATTTTTTTAGGAGGGGGTTTTATGTGGGAGGGCTTAAATTCCACATGTATATAGTGTCTCACGCTTTCTGATTATGTTGTTTACATCCCTGATATCTTTGTTCATTTTTTTGTTCTTATACTGTGTCAGTTTTGGTAAAACTCTTAGCTACATTTATTGATTTGTTTCTTCCCCCTGTCATTCAGTCAATTGTTGCTTGATTGTTTATGTACGCGTGTGTTTAAGGTGATTTCCTCTTCTTGTCCTATTGTCCTTTGATGTCATTCTTTTGTCTTTCCCTTTTTGCCTTGAATCTCACTTTACAAAGTAATATGTTTAATACCCCAAACTCTCATTAGGTCCAGATTTGGTTAGTATATCTTATTTCATCTTTTCATATTCAAACATTTTCTTTCTGTTTTAAATGTGTCTCTTCAGTGTGTGTTGACGAGGTTGCCATGATAAAGGAACTCTTGTTCACGTGGGTGGGAATGTAAATTGGTATAATCCTATGGAAAGATGAATGCAGATTCTATAAAAATCTAAAACCGGAAATAGCCTATGATCCAGCAATACTGCTCCTCGGTATTTACTGGAAGAATGTGAAGCACTAATTTAGAGAGAGATCTGTACCCTCATGTTCACGGTAGCGCAGTTCATAACACCCAAGACACAGAAATCACCCAAATACCCACCGACAGATGATGGATAAGAAGATGTGGTTCATATACACAACGGAATACTACTCAACTATGAAAAAGATGAAAGCTTGCCATTTATAACAACTTGAATGGAACTTGAAGTGATTATGCCAAGTGAAGTAAGTCAGAAAATGCAAGACAATTGCTGGATGGTTTCTCTCATATGTGGAAGATAAACAAGCAAAGCAGACAGACTAACAAATCACAATAAAAGTAACTCTTAGATTCTGTGAAAATAGAGTGGCTACCAAGGAGAAAGGTGTAGGAGGTGGGAGGGAAGGGCAGAGGGCATCTCCCTGATAGCAGGAAGGGCACTAGGTCTTCGGTGGTGGGTGAGTGAGGCATCTACACCCTTAAATAAATTAAAAATATGTTCCTTGTAAACAGCACATTGCTAGGTCTTTAACATAAGTATTATCTGAGAGTCTCAATCTTCTAGTGGTCAATTTAATAGTTAACTTTTTTTTTGGCCAGTCACTATGGTGTTACTACAAATTTACGCCTTCTGTATTTTTTGAACTTAATGTCTTTTTGGGGGGGACTTACCACATTATTTTTCCCTTTTTCGCTTTCTACTGGAAAGATGGAATTTTCTTCTGTTTAACTGCTCTGTCACCCACATGGATTCTTCTTTATGGACTTTTTCAACTTAGCAAATCTGTAGAAGCCAAGTTTCTCTAACAGCCTGTTTGGTTCCTGCCCCCTATCATTTGACAGTCGAGTTATGGGTTGCTAGATTTCTCCTATCTTTCCCGTTTGGCCTTAATAATTAATAACCATGACAAGGTGCTACCAAGGTTGGATCACCCCCTGCTTCTTGTGTTCCCTGCAGTAGCTCCTGGATGGGCTTTTCTTATTTGGATGCTCCTACAGAGGCTTGTTCTTAGAGTAGCGTTCTGTGGGTGAATCCCCTGTGTCTCTTTATGCCTGAGAACACTTTTGCTGTTCTTTCTGGTGCTTTTGGTTATGCGTAATGGCATCCTTACAGCACTACTGGATTGAATATCTTGACCCTAGCGTCTGGGTAGGAACACTACCATGGTCCTCTTTCCCCCACCACCAAATGAGGGTGCCAGTGGTGTACTGATACACTGGCTGCCTGGGGTCTGCAGATGGCTGATTTCTGTGGTGTGTACACTCCCACCCCAGGTGATGTCAAGCTCTCTGGGCGTGTCACTGAAGAGAGAGGTGGTGGCTTCCAGGCAGCCTCAGGGAATACTTGACAAACCTCCCTCTCTCCTCTGTTGACACTACGTGAAGAATAGGAATAGCCGGGCTATTTTGAAACCCTGTGGCTGCCATACACCTCACCTCCTTCCACCTCGCTTGGCCTCCTGGGTCACCTCAATTTGCTTTGCAGGTGAGGATCTGGAGATGCTTAGAACAGCTGAGGGGGTCTGCTAGTGGTCGCTGGCCAGCCTGGCACACACGTGGAGTGTTTCCTGCTCTCAATAAAACCAGATTAGAACACTTTGGTGGAAAATGCATGCAAAGTGGTATTTTAATAGTTCCATGTCATCACTTAGAGGTGCAGGGCTGCTGAGTGAGCTGTGAGCATAAGCAGCCTCCTGGTGAAATTCCTGGACGCTTACGCTTCAGCGTGTCGTAACTGCACGGTCATTAACATGCAGCCTGAGACCTTCTCGGCCTCCAGGTGTGAGCACAGACTCCAAGGGGACCCCTGGGATGTGACTCATCCTGCTTTGGTACGTGGGGCCTCTTGTTTCCAGGGAGAAGTGTTCCGTTTTTCTGGAGAAGTTACACGCTCTGCAAGAGAAAGAGGCAGCCCAGTGCTCTTGGGCTGGTAGGAGATAGTCGGGCTCCCAAGGGTGATGGAGAAAAAAATATATAAATGTATATATTTATTAAAACCAGCTTTTTCTAAATGATGGATTTGGGGTTCAATATAATTCTTTCCTCAAAGCTGCATTTATAGAGGGGCTGCCCCTCCACCCCTATGTCTCCTTCCCCATCTTGTGTCCTCATCCCATGAAGCTAACCCAGGAGTCTGTGAGATGGGGGTCCCACTCAGGGACTATGGTTCTATAAGAAGCTCACCCCCTCCTCTGGGGTGGGATGAGGAGACGGGCCACATGGCTTCCCACAATGCGGTCCTGGGTTTAAGAGCTCAGTGCTCCAACGAGCATGCTTAAATGACAAGAGTTACTGGCCATTCAAGAGGTGCTGGATTTGTACTTTTGGGGTACAAAACTAAAAGGCTACCCCCTAAAAAGTGAGATGGGTTATTAACAACCTGAATTTCAATTCAAACAGAAAATAAGGACCATAGTCATTTTTGTGTAATTCTTTTTGTAAGTCAATCAAACCCTCTTCCGATCCCTTTAACTCACATCCTCATTTCTCTTAAAACTCATGCTCAGCTGTGGAAAACCCCTTCCCTGAGCAAGGCATGAACAATGCAGGTGAGCCCCATTTTCAGAACACCTGGATACCAGCATGCAAACTTAACAGTTTAATGAGACTATGTTTACGAATATTAAAAATGGAAACAGTGGTTGAACATATGATTCGAAAGTTGAAAAATATCAGATTTCGTAAGATATCAAAGATTTCTTAGGATATTTCCAGAAATATTTCTGCTATATAACTGTAGGAACCTTGGCATTTCCATGGAATTTAGCCTCCTGACCTCAGGTTGGAGGCCACCTTCCCACGGCTCAAAGGTAAACCTCCATGGAACATCACCATTTTCTGCCTCTGCTCCAGGTAACCCCTCTGTGTTTTAGCTAACTAAAATAATGACTTGTTGGTATGCTGATGTCGTCAGTTTATAGGAGAGAAAGAAGAATCAACATTTCTGATGCAGAGGGGCCCACAGAATCCCTTCCTGTCATGGAACCAACAAGACGAGGCTGAGTGTGGGGCTGGAGGGGGTGGGAGGTCACCAGCAGAGCCAGGCTGGGTCAACCTCCAGTCTGGTGCATTTCCTGACATGACGCTTGCTCTGAGTTGAATGACCACGTCACCAATCTCTGTTCCCTTCCTGGTGAGTTCTCTTCAGGGTGGTGGCTTATTTTGCAGAAGTTTCCTTAAAGGAAGTTTTTACGGAGTGAGCTACGGGAATAAAGTCTGAACTATCAAATAATTGTATCTGTGCTAAGTGTGTATCTCAGAACAGAGAGGCTCCTAAATTGTGACTACACACATATTTCCCTGTGCTTTGGAATGAGGGGGTGTAGGCTTGCTTGGGGGGGTAGAATCACAGAGAGGACAGAAGCTGGGGTGGAGTGACCTTCAGCCTGGGCACCTGGACAGTCTGCTGAAGACTGAGTTTATAGTGGCGTGTTTTGGAAAAGACAACTTAGGAGACATCGTAAGCCTGGTACTTTGTTAGAATCGACGCTCTTCTGTTTTTCTCCTGGGACAGGTAGTAGACACGGTTGGCCTCCGGGTAGGTGACTTTGCTGAGTGGGAGCCTGTAGATGGCGGGGTTGTTGGTCGACAGGAGCAGGAAGGTGAGAGCCGAGAGGCAGAAGGGCCAGGTGCAGGGAGGCAGTCCGAACTGAGGAGAGGGCATACAAGAAAAGCCTTGGTTACATGGGACACACGTGCTTGTTTCGCCAGCCCCTGCCATCACCTCCAGCGGGGGTGGGTAGAGAGGGCAGACTACGTGCGCGTTGATTAGATTACTAACTGATGACCCACGAGAGGGAATCACACCGCGGTGTCAATCTGCCTTGTAACAGGTGACGCGCCTTCTTCGGAAGGCAGCTGTGGGAACCTTACATAACATGCCTTTATCTCGAAACCACCTTTGTCTTGGGGTGTCTGGCCAGGCTATTCCTCTAATTTTAGCAATCCCAGCCTTCTCCCACAGCCCTGGAGAAAGAATGGCTTTGGCAGCCATTTTGTAGCTCCAGACCCCTTTTCTGTCTGGTCAGCCAAGACGGACTAGGGATGGGCACCTGACTCAAAAGCAGTTGACCTGGGACTAGACTCGCTCCCTTGAGAATCTGAACTAAGGGGCAGAGACGGTGTCCGGAGGCCCCTGGCCTGAAAGGACCAGGGCGGCAGCCAGTGCCGGGTGACCCTATGGCGGCTGTGTGCGCCCGAAGAAACCCCCAGACAGACTCAGGGACACAGGGCAGACGCGGAGAGAGGAGACGAGACATTCGGTCCAGGGATCTGGAGCGGGGTGTAGCTTCCTCTCTTCTCAAGGGCAATCCGAGCCCCACCTCCTCTCTCACAATGCTCACTGGTTTTTATTCCTGTAGATGTCCTGAGACCGTTGAACACCCCTTCCCACCCGTCCTTTGAGGTAAACTGAGTGGGTGTTTCACTAACAAAGACTCAGCAAACCCAGCTATGAGGCAGACCGAATCACACCTCCTCTCCCGTCATCATTCTATCACAAGCAGTAAAATAACCCCAGGTGACAGCACAGCGGGAGCAGTGCCCGCAGGAAGAGTCATCTTGCAAACCCTAGGAGCAGGAGCAAAGTCTCATGTTGCTCCCCTTCGCAGTACCGTATCTGAGGAAGGCATGTGGCCCATATTTATTTGCTGAACAGTTGGGTGAAAGCCTGTGGGCTTCAAAGGTGGCTCTGTGGGCTGGGCCTGGGGCTGTGAGAGCTGTGGCTGGTGATGAATACAATGTGCTCACTGTGTATTCTGGGAAGCCACCCCTCCGAGTCCCAAAGTGGGGAGGATGTGGGGCGGGAGCTCCACAAACCCAGGCCCAGGGCTCAGCTCACATCTCCCTGTCATGGTCCTGTCATCTTCCCAAGACCTGTTTTCTCGATAGTGAAATGGAGACAATGATGTTTATGCAGAGAGCTGGTGCCTTGCGCTACGTCCTCAATACATGGTCCTCAGTATGTGATGTTGCCGTCAGGCAGAGGGTGGCATTCCCGAGGACCTGGCACTGCACACATGCCCGTGACAAAGTGGCCCCTTCATGCTCTCTTCTGTGGACAATGGTCTCGTAGGTGTCAATCAGCATTTTTATATCGCGTCCCTTGAGAAGATTGGAAGTTCCTTTGGAGTAAGTTAATGACCTGCGCTTTTTGTATCCCTGAGAGTAGTGAGTGCTGTGTCTTAAATGAAGCAGGCATGCAGCAAGTAAACTTGTTTTTGTTTTGAAAAATGTCTGACCTGTAACTTCTCTGTGCATGGAGGACAGGCCAGTCACCTTGCAAATCCTAGGAGCAGGAACCAGTCTCATGTTACACCCCTTCCCAGCACCGTGTCTGAGGAAGGCTTGTGGCCGGTATTCATTTGCTGGACAGCTGGACGAAAGGTGGGTGCCAGCAGAGATGGGAGAGCACGGTCAGGCAGGTGCTCAGAGGGTATGCCCTCTGTCCACATGTGTGATCGTGGCTATTGTGCCCCATGTACGGAAACCCTTAATATCCCCCAGGGTGGGGTTTCCCTGCCTTAGGGTTTCATTCATTCAGTATTTTTTGAGCACCTGCTATGTGATGGACACTGGAATAATTTAAAAACATAACCCACATCCTGTTCTGAAGGAGCCCAGGAGATGAAGGTGGTAGAGGACCTGATGTGTCACTGCACATCAACTGTAGCAGATGCACGTAATAGGGAAGGCTCATTTCATTGCTTAGAAAATTCCTGCCTATGTTTAGTCCATACCACCCCATTTCACTACGGGTGAAGGAGGCAGTTATCCAGGTGTGAGTAAAATGCCCACCCCCAGCTCTACCTGCAGGAACAGGTTTTTTCTGTTTACCTATGTGAGATGCGTCCTGGACCCCTTAACTAAGAAGGGGAGACGTGGGCTGCAGGCTGAGTCCTCTGAAAAGGGTTTGGGCCCCTCCCAGTGGGGGCTGGCCTGGCCACACAGCACCTTCTGACCTCAAATGCCACCATACACTGGGGCTCAGACAAGGAAGGGGCCTCAGACTGCCACTGCACCCACTGCCACAAGCTCAGTCTTCTTTTGGGCTTGGCACGGCCTCCAGTCCCCTTCTTCCCAGCAGCCTCCCCTGTGAGCCTGACTCTGTGCTTGTTGCTATGTGAGCAACAACACTGGCCCACAAGCTAGTGGGGCAGACAGCCGTCAACATACAAAAATGAAATAATACAGATTTAAAACATTCCTAGATGATGATACAGCAGAAGGGATTTGTTTACAAGATAATGCTCGTCCAATTGTCCTCCAAGGAACTCCATTAGCCCACTGACACTGGGATCCAATTCACTAGCGGCTGATATTTCAGCTTTTGAGGTCTAGCACTTCTGTCTAGAGTTGTGTGGCTTGAGGGAAGAGGGGTGAATCAGGGAAGGCTTCCTGGAGGAGGGGATTACACTGGTTTGGGGAACCATGACAACAATGGTTGGTGGGCGTTTCAGCTCACGTTCACTCACCACAGAGAACATGTTAGCCAGGGCAGCACCCAGGTAGGCCGAGAACAGTGCTGGAAAAGAAACAAGTGAAAGTCCAATGGCTAACAGAGCCTGAGCTTAGTCGATATACCCTCTCCCCAGACATTTTATGCCTCAAATGCCACCTCTCAGATGAAAACAAAACCACTTGAGTTATGTTTCCACTGCTTGGCAGCTTTGAAAAGTGTTAAATTCCATGCAAATGCCGGCACGGCTAAGACTGCAGATGAACTTTGTTAAGAGGGCCAGGAATGAGCTGTTAGGGGTCCCTGGGGTCCCGCCACCTTGCATTCTAGCAAAGGAACATTTAGCAGTATAAACCATAAATGAAAATTTTACTGTACAGCTACGGTGAGTGAGCCTCAGAACCCACAGCAAGTTATTAATATAATATGGGTTTCCAGGGAAGAGCAGCACCCTGAAAGCTCCAGGGAGATCAAGTCTGACCACTGCCTCACCACCCCCCAGGCTCTGTGTGCGGAGGACTTGGCGGGGCTGGCCGCCAGGAAGAGCCAGGTGCTGGCAGAAGGTGAGGCCCTGGGAAAATGGGCTTTGCTTCTGAATTCTGATTTTCCACAAGAAGCATCCTGGGGTCCCTAGGAGAGTTACTGGGGGCCCAGCAGGTAGCAATCCTGCCCGCCTCGCCTCCTTCAGCATTCCTACATCGGGGCTATTCCTTTCTCCTTTCACAGATGAGGAAGCTGAGGCCCGGGGAGGGTGAACCCCAAGCGGTTGTGTCTTTCAGCGGGATAATCCCTAGTGTTTGGGGTAGGCCCTCAGGTGGGAGGGTGGAGGAGACGAAGGTGTGATTACCTGAAGAGGGGTGTGGGCACACAATCTTACTGTGTCACCCCAGATGGCTAAATTCTCTGGGGGGGAGGACAGAACTTACTGGTGCTCCCCACGTGTGAGATGCCACTTCTTAACAGGCTTGAGACAAACTGAAGGGGGTGCTCCCGCCCAGGGCCATAGAACTATGTCAAGGTTATCACATACATTTTTAGTTTAAAAAAAAAAAAACTAAAAAGGAATAAGTTTGTATAGATAATGTATACAGAGTCTAAGATGCTGGAATGAAAACTCTGTCAAATCTCCTGGTTGAAGGAGTTTTATTTGACGCCCTGTCCATATAACATTAAGAAATAAGTTTTCAAGGATGAGAATATATGTATATATACACATACATATATTGTATTGTAACAAGTTGTTACACTCATCTTATTTATTGGGGTTCTCAACAGATCTCCAACCAAGGTCTTACTGAAGGTACTTAAGGTTAATTACTGTAACTGATGCAAATCACCCCATTCTCATTAGCATTAGAGTCTCTGGGTTGATTAGCTCCAATCACCCTTCAGGGAAAGCGGCACCCACAGGAGACAGCCAGGGACAAAGAGCAAATAACCACCTGAGAAATCTGTCTCCAGGTGGTTCTGCACTGTGCTCAGTTAAAACAGTTTCAAATGTATAAAACAACCAGGCAACGCAATTTTAAAGACAAATTCTCTTAGTAAACCAGCTTCCCATTTATCTGCGGAGGAAGGCGGAATGATCAGAGACAGACACAGGCCTCTTCTGGGGTGGGAGGAGCTCCTTGGGGTACCTACCGCAGGCCATGGCGAGCAGGTGCGTCTGCCAGTTGATGACGTAGAACATGCCTCCGATGGCGATGCAGGCCAGCGCGCTGTTGTAGCCACACAGCCCCAAGTAGATGGAGTGAAAGGGCGTGGCGATGGTGAGCGCTGGGAGAGAAGGCAGACGGCAGGGCTGAGTTTCGGGTCTCACAGGACTCACCAGTTGGTCTGAAACCCACCACAGTCCTCAAAGTCCTCTTAGGTCTTTTTTATTTTTAAGAAGTGGGGTACCAGCCGGAGTCACAGGGGGTGAGAAGATTCACCAGAGAGCGGGGAGCAGAACAGGCAGATGTAAGAAATATACTGTTGAAGGGAGCAGCGGGCGAGACAAGAGAGGTCTGCCACACCATGTGGGTATCTCCCTGGCTGGCCGAGAATGGAACTCCTGCTGCAAAGTCTGCGGACAGCCTCACAGCACGTGCTCAACACCCTGCGCCACTAGGGAGGCCCATCCTCTTAGGTGTTTATAAAAAAAGAACTGATTTTATTCAGTGACAAAAAATCTAAAGGCAACAAATGGGCATGAGCCACTTGACTATTAGAGGTTTAACAGTCATGGGCAGGAGAGACTGACTATGGACTCTGGGACAGGGGAAAGGTGGGTGGATTAGGACAGAAGTGACAATTGTATGCGATAGGATAGAACTGGACTTTCAGAGGTGAACTTAATGTAGTATGGACACCTTGATTTTTTTTAAAAAAGATTTATTTATTTATACAAGCACTGGGTACAGTCAGAAGCGCAGGAGGGTGAGAGAATTCACCAGAGCCAGAGTGGGGAGCAGAGCAGGCAGAAGGACCGAAGTACACTGCTGAGGGGAGCAGCGGGCGGCAGGAGAGGTCTGCGCACCATGTGGGACCCTCCTCTGGTGGCCGGGGAGCAGCCGGGGATCGAACTGGTGCTGCAGAGGCTGCGGGCAGCTTCACAACCCAGCGCTCAACCGCTGCGCCACCAGGGGAAGCCCGACACTTTCATTTTTTGATGATGCACACATGGAACTTAAATGTTACAATGCACTGTTACTTTAATAATAATAACAATAACAATAATAATAATAATAATAATAATAAAGTCCAGAGAAGGTCCTTTCACTACTACAAAAGGGAACTCTCCTTCTTCATTGAAATCTTAATGTTCCCTAATGGAGAACAAATTCTTATCATGAGAAATAAGACTTAAAAAGAAACTCTTCTCTGGGCCTCCCTGGTGGCGCAGCGGGTTGAGTGCAGAGCTGCGAAGCTGTCCACAGCCTCTGCAGCATTGGTTAGATTCCTGGCCGGCCAGGGAGAATCCTACATTGCGAGGCAGACCTCTCCTGCCACGTCCACTGCTCTCCTCAGCAGTGTATTTCATCAGTCTGCATGTTCTGTTCCCTGCTCTGGCTCTGGTGAATTCTCTCACCCTCCCGCGCTTCTGACTGTACCCAGTGCTTGTATAAATAAATAAATACATTTTTTTTTTTTTAAAAAACCCTCTTCTCAAACTCTAAATTCATACTAAGGTGTAAATGACTAACACTAAAGCCTTTCTTGAGGCCAGTTTTTTGCTCAGGGGCGCATAAGGACACTGGCACCAAAAATGGAAAAACATGATACAATGGAAGGAGGAGATGTTTACAGGGACAAGCATGTGGAACATTGAAGAACAGGTCATCATTTCCTTTGGAGCTGGCCCCAGGCACTAACTTCCTTATGATCCATCAATCAGGGGAAAGGGAGGACACCAACCTGCGAGCATGCCTATGGTGGATCCAATCACAGCGTGCAAGCAAATAAGAGGTGAAGAAACGAACAAAGCTATGATGAAGATGCCGCCAGTCCAGGGATTATCACAGCCAAACACTTGGCCAATGCCGACAGGGATGGCTCTCAAAAGCTGTGGGGGCAACAGGTCACAGGCCATTATAGCAGTCCCCTCTGAAAGTTTGCTTTCTGTGGTTTCTGTTACCCACAGATACTGGTCAGAAAAGATTTTGTACAATAAGATAGGAGCAGGCAGAGGGAGAGACCACAGTCACGTAACATTCTTATAGTATGTAGTTGTAATTGTTCCATTTTATAATTGTTATTGTTAATCTCTTACTGTGTCTAAATTTATAAATTAAATTTTATCTTTGGTGTGCATGTGCAGGAAAAAAAAACAGTATATATAGGCTTTGATCCTATCCTGGGTTCCAGGCATCCACTGGTGGGGGGGTCTTCAGACTTATCCCCTGAGGATAAGGGTGTCTAATGCCCTTAGTCGGCTAAGCAGGGCCACTTGAAGCTTGGCTAGAAATGTTTGGGTGCCAAATCCTTCACATTAGCATTTTGCAGGGGGTTTCCAATGTAGCTTTACTCAAATTTTAAGCTGACTCTAAAGAACACTCATTTTTTGGTTTAATCTTAGAAAACTAAGGGGTTAGGATGAGTTTCTTTTAAGCAGAAAAATGAGTGTAAGGTACTAAATCCCCAGAGAAGAGAAACTGAGATCTTTTCAAATGAGGGTAGTATTCATTAGAAAATAATAAATATCTAGAGGGCTTGTCGGTCTAGCGGGTTGACCCTTGGGCTGGGTCTCCTGTCACCCCAGCACAGGGTGCAGGACTCAACTACCACCAGGGGCTGTTTTCTACAGAGGCGGTGGCCTGGACAGTCTCATGCCCCACTGGCCACACTCTCTGGGGGGCTCTCCAGTGACCACGAGAGCAGAGAAGCCTGTGGGGACTCAACATTATCAGAGTTTAAACCCTTTCTCCGTCATGTTTCCCCTAAACTCAGGGCTCTAACTACAATGGTCAAAGATAAGATACACGAGTCATTGCCACCCCCCATTCAGCCTGCCGGAAGCTATTCCTTAAAAACCACCCAAATTGGAGTCTTCTTTCCTGAAACTCTGAGATTTTAAAGTATTTGTACAGGAGTCTCCAATCCTTTCCTTCACTTTTACAAACCCCCTAGACATCTTTTCAATGGAAAAGGTGGCATGGCGAATACAAAATACCTTAAACTGGCCTTCATCTCCCTTAGCCTAAGCTCCACCACGAGAGCAGCAGGAGAGGACAGCTGTGGAGCCGGGTTGCCAACAGGGGGCCCTTTCTGACCTCTGGCCCGTGGAGCTCCTGCCATGCACCCAAGAGCCCCTCAGGGAAGGGGCCCGCACGGGTTTCTCTCCCTAAGCGGGATGCGCCCGGGGCCAGAGCGGAGCTCTTCCTCCTGTGGCGGCTGCTGCTGACCTCGAGTTGCTGCTGAGAGAAACCAGGAGGCATTATTTCTTGCTGAGCCCAAGAGCTTTGTGGTTAGATGATGACTTGCCCATAACGAAGTTTCTGTGATTAACCTGTGGCATCATCTGGTGTAACGGAAAACAGGAGGGCCTGGGCGAAACGTGTGCACGGAGATAAGGGGGCTGGCGGGCACCCCTCCAAGCTGGCTCCACTCTAAGCTGTTGTTGATGATCTTGGCAGGCCTCCAGAGGCCAGCAACGCACACAGAATATTTGTAAAAAGCCCAAAAAGCTCTGTTACACGTATTTCTAGTGGAGGAACACCATGCTCTCAGGTGTGAGCTTGCCCCCAAGAATAAACTGGGGGAGCGAAGGGACAGGGAGTCACGTTCATTCATTCAATACATGTGATTTCAGCCTATAGCTGGATGTCTTCAATGACTCCATGACATTGAATGAGAGAGGACACAACAGAAATGGGATTAAAACTGGAACAAAGCATCAAAAACACTATAAAAGATAGAACCCAGGCCTAGAAGTCAGACAATGAAGTTTTGGTCTTGCCTTTGCTCTCCACAGTGTGTGTCCTCAGGTGGGTCTCTAACCTGGCCAGGTTCTGCCTCTGTGCTGTGACAGGTGGGACCCGAAATGACCCTTTCAGCTCTTAGAAGAGCAAAGAAGGTACCGTGTATGAGTGCCCCCACTGCGTAACTGCTACTAGCTATTCCTGGTGGGCCTTTCTGATGTTCAAAATAAGCATGCGCCATGGCAGCCGGGCCTCGGACAGACGCTGCCCCTCTGCCTTCCATGACACCTACCAAGGGCACCTGGACCTCAGACCAGGTGATATTGGGCACGGAGGCGGCAGGCTGCAGCAGTGTCGTGGGGAAGAAGAGGTTGTAGTGGCCTGTGGCTGCCAGGTACAGGGTCACGGCGATGTTGAAGGGTAGCGTGAAGACGGGGAGGTCCCACTTGCTGAAGATGGTGCCCAGAGCACTGGAGAGGATGGGGCTGATGGCAGAAGCACAAGAGAACCGTGCCAGCAGCCTCCTGACCCGACACTGCAGTGAGCAGGAGGAGGGAGCAACCTACGCGTTCTCGTCTGCTGGGAACCAAGTCTTCCCTGGGGCTCTTCCCTGTGCCTTGCATAGCGGCAAGGGGATGCCAGATTCAGCTGCAGGGGCAGGGCACTCTGGGGCAAGTCTACAGCAGGGGGTCACAGAATGACCTTGAAGGGTCACACAGCTCCATTCCCGAGCAAAGAACAGGCTGGGTGAGTGATGGGACAGGGAGACACGTTCATTCATTCAATACATGTTTGTCAAGTAACTGAGAGCACAGAAACTTCAAGATTTCTGAGATTTCTGACAGCGCCCTACAAATTTTTGGAGGTGCAGGAGGACCTGGGCCGGGCTCTCTGGGGCCTCTGCCTGGTGGGGGGCCCTTCCTCTCCACCAGCGGCTGCGTCAGTCTGGCAGGTCCCAAGGACAGCGACAGCCCGGAGTGAAGGAGGGAAAAGGACTGGAAAAGTTTCTGGAAAAGTTTCCAGAAACTGAGAGGACCCATGGTGCAGCTCTTAACCCAGGTTAAGAGGGTTAACCCAGGGTTAACCCTGGTGCAGCTCTTAACCCAGGTGGGCTCCATTTCTTACTCTGTGCCCTGGCAAGGGAGGACCAGGAATCCTTTCAAATTGGGGAAAGAGAAGAAGGAAGCGGAGGAAGGAAGGGCGGTTAGGTGCTGAGGTACTGGACTGTAGGGCACTTACAAGGTGCTGTCACTGCCTGAGGGGAGTAACTGTTTCCAGGGGGCGACTCTTATGTGCCAACTAAGAGAAAGCCACTTTAAGTCTGTCACTGAGTAGGGTAAAATGGTTGGTGGCATTGATCAGCCACGGCCTCGAAGCAAACTTACCAGGACGTGGACATAATGATCACAGGGAGCAAAAGCCACCAGTAATAGTCACCCTTGTCCGAGAACACGGCCAGCAGCAGCCCCACCAGCACCCCGTTGTACCCGTGGAGTCCTGCAGCGATGGCCGACCTGGGGAGGAGAGGCAGGTAAGTGGAGGATCCCTGTGTCCTCACGGGTGTGGGGCTGCCTTCTTGATTCGCCTTCTGAGTCCATCTGTCTCAACCGGGGCCTGACCACACGCGCATTTACATGCAGGCCCCTCTGGGACTGGGTGGGAAGACAGCACCCCTGCGCGCTCCAGGACAATAGGTACTATGACAAGGCAGTCAGGGTGGTGGTCTGCAGTTATTAGGGTCCTTATTCTGAGGGGTTTCTCAGCAAGGAGTTAAGAAGCAAGGGGTGGAAAGCCGGGCAGGGGTCCCGCCCAAGTCTCCTCTTGGCCACACGCGGGCCCCTGGGCTTCCTGGAACTTACCTGTCCTGACTCAGGACGAGGGCTGTCAAAGTGGACACCACGGTGCCCACGCAGCCCAAGAGGGCCCACCAGGGGTTCTGAATGAAGAGGCCGATGACCATGAGGAGACCGCTGAGGGGGTTGTTCACAAACATCACCTGAGATGTGCCCCGCAGCACCCAGTCCAGGAACTGAAACACTGGGGACTTGTCTGAAATGTAACCAGGACAGGAAGCCAGTTAATGTTAGGCGTGGCGGCTCTGGGTGAGGCCCTAGTGGGCAGGTGGACAGTATGAGGGCAGAGGACATGAGGGCCTCTCTGCCTCCAAAGCAGGCTGCAGGAGACCAGTGCCTGCTGGCACCTCCACAGTTGGGGGTAAACAAGGGAACTAAGAGGACCTTTGATGGCCCCCAACACTCTTTAGGCCCAGGCCAGCTGGAAAACTTGGAAAACATCATTAGGCAGTTTTCCAGGGAGCAGGACGGGATTCCCGAGCTGTCTGTGCCCAGAAGAGAGGCATGCATGTTCCAGAAGACACCCATGAAGAAAACACTCTCGTTTCATTGAGGGTCAAGCCCACTGAGGGCCTGAACTTTGGGGAGACTGCTCAAGAGAACCCTGATGCTCCATTTTCCTATGAACCGCGGAGAGACCAACATTTTCCTGGAATGCTGGCTCCAGAACCCCAGGGTTAAAAGGCCTGACTGCTGTGCTCTGATGGGTTGTTCTGCTTTGTTCAGACACACATTATATACTGTCATCCTGAGAGACGTCATGTCTCGTCTAATGACCCCCTTCTAGAAGACCAGAACTCAGTGTGGACCAGAACCAGGGAAATGCGTATCTGGGGGAGGGGCAGAGGGGACCGTTGGGGTGTGGGATAGCAGAGCCTTTACCTTTAAGCCCCTCTCCACACGCCTTCATCTCTCCTGTGATGTAGCTAAGGGCTTGGCTGACTCTTTTGCCACTGGCGGCCATGGAACTCTGAATCCAGGAAGTCTTGCTCTCTGTGCTCTCCTCCATGATGTCCAGATCCTGTCCAGGGACGAGAGGCGGCCAAGGAGCTCCCACATTTGGGGTCCTTCCTACTAGCAGTGACACTTGCGCTCGCTCTGGGATCAAGCTAAGATTCTCATTTTGGTATTTAGTGAAATTGCTATTTAAACATCTGACTCTGTAAACCAGACTCTTTTGCTTGTTTTGGCAAGTCACCTCATTTAGAATGGGCAACAACCTTGTCGTTCAGGACCATATCTTTCTCCTCACGCTGGGGAGGAAGGCTCAGGCATGGAGAGGGTCCATTTGCAGAGGTCAAGGTCAAATGGTAGACATGAGATTTAACTACAGATCTTTAGATTCTTTTTTTTAGACCATTACTTCTACTCTACGAAACTCTTTCCAAAAGAAATTATTTCTCCCTCAGCGTGCCTTTAAAATTAACTGTCCATAAAATTAAACATATGAAGATTCTGGTTTTGAAAATTGGTACCAGCAAATGTTCTAAATGTTTGCATGCTGGATTTAGAGGAAGACAGGTAATAAATAATTCAAATGAAAAGAATGTGAAACTTGATAAACTGTGAAAAATAAACATTTCTAATCCCAGGTAATTATGTTTCTGAAAATGTGAATTCAAGTGAAATTCGCCTGAATCAGAGAAGGTCTTTTCTGGACCTCAGCTCCCCGATCTGTTTCTGGCAGCGGGCGAGGGCGCTGCTCCTGAGTGGGGTCCTCCCCTTACTCACCAGTAACTCGACTGTGGGCTTCCGGTATTGATAGGGAAGCGAGTCTTTGGCTGGTCTTTCCTGGTGTTCGCTTCTTCCAAAGACTGGAGTTGGAAGGAGAAAACACCATCAATTAGGACACGTCTACCTGGTGCCTCAGCATCACCTCTCTTGCACGACTCAAGATAGAATATTCGGTGCATCCTGTCTCAGCTCAGCAAGCCTGGAGGCTAGCAGACCTTTCTTTTACTGGTCATGGATCCTTTGGGGCGCTCTCTCTGGGAAAAAGCTCACGTCCTCCTATAAATAGGACATTTTATGGGAACTTAGGGAGATCAGAGACTCAAGTGACCTTAGTTAAGAAGCTTCATTCAACTTCTATATTTTTTAGTTGTAGCAACAGTGACTAGGCCCTGGTCCCTGACTTCAGAGTTCTGTCTCCTGCAGTACTCAAGAGAGCTGGCAAATGTATGAAGAGAGGGCCTTGGAGTTCAAGAGCATAATACTCGATCTCTCCTACATCGTACTCAGTATTTGTAAAGTAGAAGCTCCCTGAGCCATGCAAGACCTGTATTTGAATTAGACCGTGACCATCCCCAACTGGAGGAGCTCAGACTATTCTGTCTTTTTCTGATGCATGTTTCTGACTTACAGGTATTTTAGCAACAACTGCTGGTTGGACCTCATATTCGTATTGTTATTTGAAACAGATTTTAGTATATCTTTGTAATTCTAAAGATCTAATGTATACATATTTTCCATTATTATTATTTTCAAAGATGACCGACTTAGTAGGGTGTTTATGCATTGTCAAAGCTAGGCTGCACGGGTTTCAGTCTTGATACTCTGGCTCCCTCTCGTGGTCAAGTGGGAGAATGGCAGGCTGGGTTCTGAAGGCCTGATATTTTCAGTCCGCCAGTTCCCAGTCTAAGCACTAGAAGGAATGCATCATCACTTCTCTGCCTTTTGGCTGAGCGCAAGTGTAGAAGGAATGCATCAAGAGGCCTTGTTTCCATTTTTGAAGGATCAGGGGTTGTAAATGCCAGTGTGGTTGGGAAGTTATACTATGCAGGGGAAATTTCCAAACTGACTTTGGAAGCTGTGAATAGAAGCTAAGAGAATTCCTCTATAAGGCCAGCGTGGGTGATATCCTGACAGCCCTCTGCTTCTGTCTGAAGCTCCCCTCTGCTTGCACTGTCCAGCAATTGCCATTAACCTCCACCTCTCAGGTTCCTTTGCATCGTCCTCTCTACTAAGTCCTCCCACCTGGCCCCCAACCACTATTGTAAGAGGATGTTTGGAGGGAGACTCAATCTTTTGAGGCAAACCATGTTCTCTTGCACCCCATGCACAGGGGCTCCTGTTGGAGACATCACCCCTGGGCTAGAGGCCCCTCTCCTCCTCGTTAGGTGTCTTTTCTCTGGGCTGGCCACTTTGCATATGAGGCAGTGGTGTTCAGATGGAAGAATAGAGTCACTAAGGCACCTTCCGGGAAGGCAGGTGATATCCCAAAGAGACAACAACCTGGACTCATCTGACCCCATAGTGCCTCTCGTCGCTTGTGTGACTGTGGGCAAGTCGGCTCCTCTCTCTGGGGCTGGCGTGTGTTTACGGGGGCAGAATACCATGACCCCTCTGACCTGTTTTTCAAGCCAACCCTCCAGCTGGTGGGACAGATACCCCTCACCCCTCCCTTTGAGGGCTCAGCTTCCAAATCCAAGTTTCTGACTTCCTACCTGCTCAGCTCTGACTGCCCCTGGTCCTCCTCTTAGCCTTTGGAACCCCCTCCCCTCTATGGATCTTACCTCTATTCTCTTGGCTTTGCCATCTACTCTTACTGCAGGCAAGAGCTTTTCATCTGCAGCCTCCTAGACCAGTGGTTTGTAGAACATTAGAAACTCACAGGGAAATTTCAAGACCCTTATGCCCTGCCGGGCCACTCTCCAGATGTCAGATGAGAGGCTCTGGGGGTGGTGGTGGTGCAGGTGATCCCGATGTGCAGCCAAGAAGTCTGGGACCTCCCAGCCTAACCTCACAGTGTCTGCATCCTGTCCTGGCTCCCTCCTACCCCCATTCTCTTGGGGAGAATCTAGACCACAGGACCTGTGACTGTGGCCTGAGGTCAGGTGTGATGAGACTGAACCTGACCCTTGTGGGTCTCCCCACCATGCCCATTTTAGAGATAAGCAAATCCAGGACCCAAGAGCATGGGGAGGAAGCGCACACCTTTGCTCCTCCTCCGAATGGATGACCACTCGATGTGGAACACGCTTCTGGGCTTGGGGAGCACGGCCTCTGAGCCTTCATCAGCCTTGGGGCTCACTGTGGTCGGCTGCTGTCCACCGCCTTCTATCCAGGGGCAAAAGGAGACAGGTCAGTGTCCCACCCTGGTCTGCACCCCGTGAGCACCAAGCAGAGAGCTCCAGAAAAGTCATGCAGAAGCTGGAAAGGACAGAGTGAGGACCCGAGGCTGGAGTGGGAGTCGGCGTCTGCGTTGGCACAAACAGCTTCCTTATTCCTCCCGCTCCAGGGTCCACGCCCCTTCCCTACGGCAACCTAAGTCCTGTCAGTGTCATGAGATGGTGAGTCACCGGCCTTCTTTCTTCAGCTACTCTAAGACCCACAGCCCTGGCCTGGACTGGCCTGGACAGTGGAAGAGCTGCCTGTCCACTTTTTTCTTCAGCCAGCGCCTGGGTCTCCACCTGTGGCAGGGAGTGTGTGTGGGGCCTTTGGCACTGATGCACACGAGCCTCACTCAGGCACTTCGACAAAATGCCTGAGCCCAACCCTAGAGCAACTTTAAAACTTAAAGTTTTTAATGCCCATAACATTCAAAGAATGGCGCTATTGTGCAGCTTGGACTGAGAAGACAAATCCAGGTTCTTGCTACTCAAAGTGTGGTCCCCAGACCAGCAGCATCGGCACCATCTGGATGCTGACTAGAAATGCAGATTCTCAGGTTCCACCCTGATTGACGGAGTCAGCATCTGTACTTCACCAGGATTTCCTAGGTGATTTCTGGGCACATTAAAGTTTGCAAGTTCTGGTCTAGAGGCGGGTGGGGGTGAGTCCTGAATCTGTGATTTGCTTCCAGAAATTCTCTGCAGCACCATGAAACACGACCAATCCCAGCAAAGCAGAATGCTCCCATCTCTTGGGACGAATTGTGCAGTGTGGACCGAGAACTGTCTCCGGCTTCTAAGATGCATGCTCCTAGGGGTGAATCGGGGCATTTGGTAGCCCCTGAGGCCTGCATTTTAATGTTCCAGTGGGGCCCCAGAGCACCCATGTGGAGCGTGGCTGTTGAAAAGTGGAGCACCCACACTGCTGCACATGACACACTTCTCAGCCAACTCCCTTGGCCCTTTCAAGGGCACCCTGAAGCTGCTGGGTGGGCACTGTTCTCTCCCAGGGTGGAACAAGGAGCCAAGGGGTTTTGTGTACCAGGTCACACGTCCCACCAGTTCCCTTCCCTTCACCTCAGGGTGGGGAAGATGCTCCCGAGCCAGCCTCCTGCTTGCGGGTCCGGGTAGAGCCTGAATGGCCAAGTCTGGAGCTGCCCGCTAGGCCCTGAGCTTCAGAGACACCTGGCAAGTTAGCCTGCCCCGGGGCACCTCTGCAGACTGTGCTTGTGCCGGGGATGAGGCCGAGGAGGGCCCATTCTATGACCGGACAGACCAGGGGATGAGGCCGAGGAGGGCCCATTCTATGACCGGACAGACCAGGGGATGAGGCCGAGGAGGGCCCATTCTATCACCGGACAGACAACTGGAAAGCCCGTCCGCGGGTCTGTTCTCTCCCTCCCTCAGCTGCAGGCGCCGGCTGCCCCAGGCTGGAGTAATGTTGTGACCGCATCAGAGGCTGAGCTGCGCAGGGCTACAAGAGCCCTGTCTGCCTCCAGGCCTGGAGAAATCAACTTGCCCACGTCACCCAGCTCCTGGGTCACGGCAAAGCCAGGGTCGACCCCCATCTCCTGACCCCCCATCTGCTGCTCTCAGCGTGGCTGCGGGGATCCTTCCCAAGCCCCGGTCCTTCATGTTGTGCACCTCAGATCAGCTCCTGCTCAGGGCCCAGGAAAGTGGGGCAGGGTCTCCACGCAGGACTACGCATTCCCAGAGTTGGCATCCCAGCCTCAAGAACTAAAACCACAAAGCACCTTTCTTTCCCTTGCTCTGTCCTGCTTCAGCTGAGTTGGGGAGGTGCCATCAAGCCCTGTGTTGGTTCTGGGTCTCACGTGATACGGGAGTGCTGGCTGCAGACCCCAGGGAGGGCAGGAGCCCCCGGGACGCACTGGTCAGAGCTGGGAGTGAGAGTGGGAACAGCCCTACAGCGAAGACTGGAGGGAAAGAGCCGTGCAAGCACTTTAGCTCAGGTGGCCGCCGTGCGCGCCCTCTCTGGGATGGAATCTTAGGACGCCCACAACAGATAACAGCAATTTCAAGAGTATCGTGAACACATCTACTGAAAGTTCTAGAAATAAATGTTCCATTGGTGTAATAGAGGGGGAAAGAAAGGAAGAACAAAAAAAAAAAAGCCCAGCAGCTGACCGGCTGAGAACCTCGGCACTGATTTCTGCACAGTGCTGCAAGCTGCCCATCTTGTGGACAGTGCCCCATAGTCGCACAGCTCCAGAAAGAAATAGAACTCGTGGGTTGGACCTCTCCAACCCCAGCTGCAGGAGGAAGAGAGATCTTTTGGAGGGAAACCTCCTATTTATTTCCCATGTTATAAGCATGAGAACATGCTGGCAAAATGCCCTGGAAAATACTTTTGCCCTGCTCAGATGGCAGAAGCCCTCGGGAAGTCACTTCCCTCGATGGCACGAGTCCCTGTGCTCAAGGCAGGTGGCTCCTTATTTCTGCACATGCCTGGCACTGTACACCTGCCTGCATTGACTCTTAGCTTTCCAGGCATCAGTGATCCATTTTGTCTGTTACCTGCATAGGATGGTGGGGTCCCAGACTGTCAGGGTTATACTGAGTCCCCTGGGCACCCCAGCACCTGCCGGCAGGAGCCTGGTAGACTGTGGGAGCTTGGAAGTGCTTTTTGAGCCAATCAATAAGGGCTCATTCTATTATGTCTTAAGATTTCTGAGCGGCATGATGAACAATCATTGGCTCTTTCAGGCTATGCAGCATTTTAAAAAATAATATATCTCATTGTCAGTGTTAAATGCTTGATAAATATTGAAATAAAGGTGAGGTCTTTCATAGGTTAACAAGGGCAACAGCTGAATTGGGTTTTGGAAGTTGCAGGGTAAGCGCTGATTATTTCCAGTGTTGCTTGGATAAAAGAAGGGACATTTATAGTTCACAATAAAATGGTTGGCCGGGAACCCAGCAATCCTGCAGGAGTGGCTGGGTGAGCTCAGTGAGTGACAGGGAAGAAAGGCAGTCACTGAAGATGAGATCTTTCTTGAAGGGATTTGTTTTGGTTGTCAAGACAGTACAGGTTGGTTCTGTGTGGTGTCTCAGAGGTGAGCTGGGTTTCCTGAATCCCCAGACCAATGTTGTTCACAGTAACTTACTCTTTTTGGTTCTTTCTGACTCATTTGCCTGCCTCACATGATACTGTGTGCCCAGGTGCAGTGAGCACCCCACCTGGCTGCTTGGAGTGTTGCTACCTGTGCTGTGGCTCACAGGGAGGGGGCAGCTCTGTCCTGAAGCCTGTGGGGGAACCTCACAACTCCTCAGCATACCCCCCACCCCCATGAAGGAGCCCCCCACCTCCTTCTATAACAATCCTTATTCAGAACCCCAAGTCATAGAGCTCCACACGGGGCCGGGTGGCCTCCAGGACCATTTCGGGGGCACAGCCCCTGCCTTTGAGGATTGCTACCATCTGTGTTTTAACAGCCCAGACTCCAGCAAAGCCTTCCCCACCTTGACTCAGAGACGGCACAGCTGTGGAACATCCTGATTTGTTCAGAAACACTTTCTAGAGTTGTATCCTGTAGTACTCAAGCCTCTGCTGACATCGAACAGACAGAACATGCTGACCGTTCACATATCAGGGGTAAAAAGAATTTGTAGAAGAGGCCACCTGTCAGATCCAGTGTTGGTGCTCATTGCGGTTTCTTAGAGGGGAATAAAACAAATCCAAACCAATTCTGACATTGCTCAGAAGAGGGGAAAATATCAGCCTGTACTCAAAACAGGTCCATTCCCGCACACTTGTTGCTGGTTGTTGCTCCCAGGTTTTGAATAGCTTTGCTGGCTCTGGCAGGTGGAGACGCTTCCACACCTCACCAGCAATAGCCACCCAGGGAGCATCTGGGACCTACCATCAAGGCCCATTTGTCACCCTCCCAGTTCCCTGGGTCTCTTATTCCTCCAGGTGTTCATGACACCCCCACACATTGCAAGGCATCGTGCTAGCTACTATGTCCGAATGAATTTTTTAAAGTGATACATCATATATGTGATCTGAATTTTTCCTACATCCAGTTCCCCATGACTCTGGCCCCAATTTGGGCACATGTTTCCTTATGAGGAAGCTGAGCTTGCAGTATGACTTGTAATTTTTAGCACTAGTCTGTGAATGTTTGTGTGTGTGTGTGTGTGTGTGTGTGTGTGAGAGAGAGAGAGAGAGAGAGAGAGAGAGAGAGAGAGAGAGAGAGAGAGAGAGAGAGATTTGGTATCTTTTTCTGGGAAGTTGTGTTTAGCCAATCTTTTCAAACATCATTCTATAGGCGATCAAAGGCAACGGCTGTTAGAATTCAAAAAGGGTTTTGAGATTATCGAGTCTAGCCCTCTCATTTAACAGTTGGGGAAACTAGGTGTAGAGAAATGTAGTCATTGACCGGAGGCCACACAGCTATTGGCAAAGGCAGGAGTGAATATCACATAGGTCTATTCTGTCTCTTGCCTTCTAGTCTAAGATTTATTTCCCTAAAAAGTACTTCCTACTAGGGATTTATTTTTGGTCTGTCAATTCAACTCTGTTTTTGAATATAATGGCCTAGTTAGGTATTCTAGAATCCATTTCTCTTTACCCTGTGGCTCCCTTTTCTTCAGAGATTTAAGAAAAACCCAGAAGTCATTCTGAGGTTTCCCAATATAGCTGGACCGGGGGCAGGTTGTGTGAGAACTGGACGGTGTAAAGGTGGGGGCTGGGTCCATGGGAACTTGGGGGTCAGTAGTTGGATGTCCCAACTTTTTAATTAAATCAATCTTTTAAAATGCCAAGATGTGAGTCACTATGACCCTGAGATAAATCCTCATAGCATTTAATCTTGCCTCTTCCCCCACAGCTCACTTGCTGGCCAATGAACTCACCTGGATTTTGTTCTGTTTTGCTTAGTTTTTGTCTTTGGCTTGCTCCATGGAGAAGATATTAATAAGCTTTGA